TGAAGATGTTACCTAGCTGGGTAACGAAACATTTGCAAGAAAACAAGCAAGCTCAGAGAACCCCAAGGACTCTACCAAAAAAAAAGGGGGGGGTATAAATAACAGAAAATAAAAGGGATTGAAATGCCGAGCTGGCCCTTTTCAGTTTTATCAAGAAAGTAATCACATAGAAGATGCATAGGGGAAAGTGGATTAGTGTGTCCTTCATGAACGGAAGGGAATGTGAGTTTTAAGCTGAAAACCAAACTTAACAAAAGTATGCCTCCTTTTCAGATGTCAAGAGAAGTGATCAATTGTGATTGTGTAGCTATATGTATTTTATACTTCTATAAGTAAAAGTATACCCTTACCCATACATGAAACAGGGATTGGGTGAGTTTAATTGCCCACAAAAAAGAATGCAAGATGTGCTCCTGTCACTGTACTCTGCTACTTTAAGGCAGCCTTCTAGCTGTCTGGCTGACTTCTGTCAGAACTGAGATGGGTAACTTGCAGAAAACCTTTCTAGCTTATAAACGTACCCGGTACTCCTTACTGACTCATTGTTCACATACCTGGTTTAAAAACTAGAAAGAGCAGTACGTCAGAATATATAAAGTACACTTGAACTGTAGCTGAACTAGGAACATGTATGACTCAACAGGAGAGGACTCCTTGTTTGTGTCCTTGAACTAAAAGTCTTCAGTACCTAACTTTAAATACTTTTGTTTCAAAGGGAATTTTACTTCAGTGGAAATATGTTCAAGTACACGGATACCTTTTCTCTGTGGTGTCTATTTGGCTTATATTGATTTTCTTTTTCCTCCTAAACCAAATATATTCAAAATTTGCTATTGCAAAATATAACAGTGTGACTACAAAGAAAAGATTCAGCCTGAAAAATGGTGGAACCATTGAAGACTCACATTTAAGGCCAGATTTAATCTCTCCATCTGTATGTAATGTTACTACAATTTTTTTCTTGATGATTTTAAACAACCAGCTATTTAAATTATTAGTTTTGGGTAACACATATGTTATGTACTAGGTAATCTTAAGACATCACAAATGGTTATAAAAATACAGATGGGACATATTAATTGTAACAGAATGACAGCTGATGACTGAAAAATAATATGAAGAAAATTGAAATATTATGTAGGACAACTGACCAGTGAATTGCAGAATGCTGCATAGGAGAGGAAATCATAATTAGTTTTGTTTAATTTTGTTGAATGGAGGGAAAGGGGTGTCACCAATAACGTGTGTTTAGGAACCAGTCTTCTTTGTAAATTATTTTGGAGTTAAGGGTAAATGCCACAAGGCCCAAACCTATGGATGATATGAAAGAAAAGGTTGCAAACCTAGAATAAATTGCTCCACTTGTACTTGGCACATAAGTACAAATCAGTAAATAAATAGATCTCTCCAAACTGCAAATATAGTTTAATCAGCATACATATTGGGGGGGGGGATCACCTTTACATTGATGAGGTCTGGAGTAAATGTGATCAAACAAAATA